GTGCACTTCCTGTCAGTCCGGCCGGTTACAAGAAACAGAAACCCCGCGCGGAACAGGAGTTTCTGTTTCCTGTAACCGGCCGGATTGACAGGAAGTGCACACTCAGTGTGCACCTTCCTATCACTCCGGCCGGCCGGCCACCGCGGACCGGAGTGCAGCTCGGCCACGCTACAGGGGAGGGGAGGGGAGGGGAGAAGCTGCAGCCGCCTGAGTCTCTTCACAGAGCGCTCGGGCGGCTGCAATATTTAAAGGGCCGGCCCGCCGCGGCCGGTCTTACAAGAATTTAGGGCGGCCTGGGGGGCAATTGACTCCCTGCCCCCCCGGCCCTGCCCGCCCCTGCCAGCGGCCGACAGCAGACCCAGGTGTCTGCCCGGCCCCAGGTGCCGACGGCCCACCGGGAAATTTCCCGGTATCCCGGTGGGCCAGTCCGGCCCTGTGTCTCCCCTTGAGGGTCGTCTTTCAGCCTTTATGTACTGCTGCACGAGGAGTAAAGGTGGCATTTCGGGATATATCCCAGGAGTGTCTAGGCCCAGCTCTTGTGGGAAGGCAGCGCACTACGTTGCAGAGGTGAGTTGGTGAGAGCGGCCGTTCTTGTGGGCTGTTAGGGTGCGGGAGAGACCCCATCTGATGGGAATATTAGCAGATCGTAGATTTTTTGTAACTGGGGCAAACGCTCTCCTCCATCCCAGGGTGGATCGGCAGAGATCTTGCAGAAACTGGAGTTGCATCTCCTCGAAGTTGAAAGGGGTCTTGGCTCACAATGCTTCCGGCATTTCAGTTTTATCCCTGAATAGGGGAAAGCGGAGTAGCACATCGCGTGGAGCCTCAGCCAGGCCATAGTCGATTTTGGCAGATGGAAGCAGTGATCAAATTGCATTCTTTTGGCTTGGCGTTGGGGTAGGAGAGTGGCCAACAGGCGTCTGATAAAGTGTGGGAGTTCTTGCCCCTCAATAGTTTCGGCAATACCTCGCATCTTCAAATTATTGCGCCGTCACGCGTCGTCCAGGGCATCAATTCTGACCTGCATGGCCTGCTGAAAGGTCAGCAACTGTTTCATACTTTCCACAGTGTCTGCTTGCTTATGGGCAATGGAGGAGATATCATCATCGTCGCCTGGACTCTAGCTTTGGCCGCCGTGATTTCCTCCTATATGAACGACAGGTCTGCATTAAAGAGTGTCCTGATATTTATGAGGAGGGCTTTAAAGGCGCCCTTATTAACAGGGGCTGACAGGTCTTCCTCTGGCAGTGGAGTGTCAAGGTCTCCTGGGTAGGGGATGTCATCTGAGGTTTCCAGCATCTCATCCTTGGAGGTGGTAAGTCCGAGGTCCGGCTGCGCCGCCATCTTGGGTTTAGGCCGCGATTGCAACAGGTCTCCAATGTTGCGGAAGCCTTCTCCTGCAAGAACCTTAAGTTTCTTGGCTCTTTTCCCCATAGTGGCTCGGGATGTCGGGAGTTGTTTGAGGGGGAAAATAGCGTGCAGGTGAGGGTTATCTGCCGCGTTATTCCGCAAATCTGTCGGAACCCAGCCGAAATGCGTCTGCTCTCTGTGAGTATCAAGCCCCGCCATTATGGGGTTGTGTGTCTGTATGAAAATTATCCATACAGGTTTGTGAGTGTATGTAAATAATTGTGTCAGATTTATGTATCTACACATGATGATAATATAGATATATACATGCAGGATTTTGTATCTACATGCAATTATATGTGTGGTATATAAATGTATGTAGCTCACAGATTGTGTTGCTGCATGTAAACATATTAGATGTCTGAGATTATATGTTTGTTAGTATAGCTATGTGTGCAAGAAGATGGAAAAATACATGTATGAAGACGCGTAGACACATGGTGAAAATCAGAGACAGAAATACACACAGACATACACACCCTGGAAAACACATGTGGACACTTAGCAAAGCACGCAGGTGGAGAAAGCAAGGCACAGACACACATAGTAAAGCACCTACAATTAAACATTCTTACATACATAGCAGAAACTCACAATTTGTCATGATTGCCAAATCAATGCGTCATTTTGGCATTCATGTTAAAGTTGTGCATAATTTTCATGTTAATGTGACCCCAATACCTGACCCCTTCCATAATTGTGTCCTTCCATCATAATTTTGGACGCTGGTCACGCTACACCTGCATCAGTTATGATGCCAGGATGCCTTGCATTATTTCTGATGCATGTGTCATTCTTGCAACATCCATCTTGCACCATTTTGCATTGCAGGAATAGTAAACCTATAAGGAACAGAAAGTACATAGAGTAGTATTACTATACCAAACAACCAGCAGACCATCCTGGCTGGCGTGGCTGCATTAACTGGGAGCTCTTCCCTCCCAGTGCAGAGAACATTCAAAGCCTCTTCTACATTGAGCAAGTCTCTGTACCACACTGATTACTACAAGAAGTAAGAGAATGGGAAGGCGAGGGAACTCGAGGATATGCACGCAGGGAGGTAGGTGGATACAATGAAAGGGGAAAGAAGAGATTAAACAAAAAAATATTTACTGACATTTTATTTACATTTGCATTATTGCAGTTTGGGCCTATTTTATAACATGAGTCTGGAGCTGGAGGTCCGTCTGCCCCTATATTAATGTGGTTTGTCATGGACCAGACATTACATAAGTGACAATAAAAAGTTGCAGCAGAATGGAGAACTCCAAATACTTTTGTGATGCACCCTACACCTATTTATATACTTTCCCCTTTTATTTTGCATATTTCACCCTTTTTCCATTCGGGAGACTTCATACGAACAGAATTATTTTGTCTCCCGAACGAGTACCACCCCTGTACCCCATTAGAAAGTTGATGCCGACCACTTAAGTGCGAAAACCGCAAGGGAAGTAATTAATGAATGCTTCCCCTGGGTGGCTGTCATTTCGTATAACTGAACACGTGGCAGACAAAAGAATGGCGTCGAGTGCCTGGAACTCTTTTTGGCTAGACACTCGCACGATTGCCAGTAAAATTCGGGCCACTCCCCGGTCTATTTCCAGACCACCTATACAAACGACGTTCAGGAGATATAAACTACCGAACAGGGGGAGCATTCGTACCCTGAATTGAAGAGATTCCCTTGCATGGTGTTCGCACAGGAACCTAACAAACAGAGACCAGCCAGGGCACCTATTTCACTTGAACTGCTTTGGGCTAGCGCCTTGTGCCTGGCCGGTCAAAACTTTACCTCGATGACATTCCCGTTTCATCAACCCGATCTGAGTGATTCTTGTATATGTTTTACACTCAGATTGGGGCTATCGGGGGAATGTACTTTTTGTGGGGTTCCTAGCTACAGTGAAGGCACTTTTTGGGTACAGTAAATTTTGTTGGATTTTCTGTATCAGAGACAATTAAATTAGAGGATTTTTCTCACGCAATTATCTCTAGGGCACAGAGGATCCTGGGATTGATACCCCTGTTTTATTGTGTTGTTACCCCCTTGTAGGGGACTGGGCATAAAAGCTGTGTGTGGCCAAATAAAGTTAATTTGTACTCTCAGAACTGTGTGTCATCCAGTTGCTGGGGAGGAGGTGGGATATTTCTTTGGTGTTTTTCTTGTTCCTGATTGTACTTTGGTGGATCCAGCGGAGAAGAGTCCCTGTTAGGACTAGGGCTCCGCTACAAACTTGTTACGGCTTCTGTTTCTTATAAAGAGTACATATCCTGGAGCAATGTCAAAACAAGCATGTTTCATTACATATATTTACTCTAGAGTAATAAAAGTCAAAATAAGCAGAATCAGAATGGACCATAGAGGAGAGGATGGTTAATGAGTGTGTGGTGATGGAGATAGTGAATAAACTGATTCTGTTTTGTAAATAAAAAGGAAATAGAATGATGTGTTCAAAACGACAGGTGTGGGAGGGACATGGAATGAATGGAACGGAATGTTGTGAGGAAGAAGAGATGGCACATGGAATGTGCTGGGAAACGTGGAATGAAAGTTGACACATTGAGTGAGGGAGTGATGTGGAATGATTTTGGATATATAGAATGAGTGAAAGGTCAGAGAATGAAGGGGAGGGATGTGAGTTCAGGATTGAGTGATATTGGAAGGAAGACCATTTAATTGTTGAACAGTCCAGTTGGGAAAATATAAATACTTCCCTTTAACCCCTTAAGGACACATGCCATGTGTGACATGTCATAATTCCCTTTTATTCCTGAAGTTTGGTCCTTAAGGGGTTAAGGGATGACAGGAGGGGCTGAGGGAACATCACCGGTGACATGATTCATGTCTCTACCTGGAAGAGGGGCAGGAGTAGGCCCACCCACTGAAAAAGAGTGTCAGTCTGGTGTCAAGCAGGCAAGGCTGACTGACAGCCTGTCAGGCAGGCCATCCATCCTACAGGACAATGAAGAGAGCGATGCTGAAGCACTCCCTGCATGGTCCTCGTGCCCTTCATATCTACTGTTCCTAGATGTAGGACACTAGAGCAAAAACATTGAGACAGCAGAACAGAACTCCGAAGACAGGACTGTCCCACCACAAGCCAGATTATTGGAAGACCTGGAACCTTGGCCTGGAATTCTAATTTACTTGATGTGAAAAGGAGTGGGGGCAAGTCAGTGCACAATTATGGGTCTCATCTGTGTGCTGAGGTTTCAAAGAAATCCAGGACAATTTTACTTAGTAACACTAAAACCCTTTTGCATTTTCTGACCCCTCCAGAATTATGGGAATTCTATATTTTAAATACTCTCCTTGTGTATCAGAATAATAAAATGGTACTAATCTGAATGTGTGAAAGAAATAAGCCCTATAGAGAATGGATAGCTTCTTTTTACATGTTAGAATTATATATATATATTCTCATACATAGCTGAACTGTCTACAATATATAAAATTTTGCTTTTAAACTTTTTATCACTTTCCTTTTATTTAGTGATAAATAAATGGTTGTTTTGGCTATAGAGGCCATGTCAGGTGGCAAGGTTACTCTACAAAGTACCATTGATCGCAATAGGTCTCTGGAAAGCCAGTAACTGAAAAGTTTAATTGGACTTCTGGGGAAATCTTCAAACTTTGACTAGAGTCTCTTGTGTCTGGTTATATCAAATCAGACTGCGTCATGAGGTCATCAGAAAACACTAGGGGCCAGCCCATGGCAGGTCTAGATAACCGTCTTAGAGGTTCTCCAGAAATAAATGGTAGCCTCTATTGCTGAAACAGCAAACATCCCAATATTCTGCTCCAGTTAATAACCGATTTCTGATGTTCAAAAATATTGTTTCCGAGAGAAAATATTCGCCTGGTAGACTTCAGCCCGTAAAGTTATTCGCTACATTGGGAGATATTACTAGTCAATATGTTATACCCAAATAGATGAACTGAAAAAATACCAACTTACCTTCTTCCACAGCTCTGCCACTTTGGCCTAAATTTTAAAAATGTTTGTGAAAGAGTAATGGTATCTAAAATTTTGGTGCTTGTGCCGCAATCAAAATAATCCTCAGCACTCAGCAATGTTTCCTTGTGGTGGTTTACTGTGTCATCAAATTTTTCGACGTTTACATTTTTTTTTTTTAAAAGCAACAGTTTGATATTTGATGTGTTTTTCTCATGTTTCACACGTCGAAAGTCGCCTTTTTTACATTTGATGGCACAATAAACAACCATGAGAATTATATTGATTGATGCTTTTAAAATGTTTGTCAGTATTTAACAATTCATATTTTAGTGAATAATCCCGTATGCCAATGAGAGACATAGTCTATTAACTATTATAACATAGTCTAGTAACTATTATAAGAAACTTTCTTACTGCCCTATCTTTGCCACTGAAATGGACAATGCTCAATGAGGATAACGTCTGTGTCTAAAAAGGATATTAAATAATCCCTAGAAATCATGGCTTCTGCAAAATGCTGGATTGGTTTAAAGTAGAAATTACGGAAAGGAGGGGGGCGGTACGTTATTTGTAAACACGTAGACTCGCCACTGGACAGAGTTGTGGCTTCAAGGGAAAAGCCGGGTATAAGATGGACCGGGAAGACGATTTTGTCCTCCCTGAAATATCAAAAATATCCCCTTCTGGGGAGAAAGACCGAGCATCGACATCGAGTGCCCGAACATCCGATACTCTCTTGCATAAAGATAAACAAAACAGCATAACTAGTTTAGCCGAGATTTGTTTCAGGGATAAAAACTCATTATCCGGCCTATCGTTAACAAAATTCCCATGAGGACAGGCCCGGACTGGCCATCGGGCACACCGGGCAAATGCCGAGGCCGGCAGGGAGATCACAGGATCTCCCCCTGCCGGTCTTTGCAGGGCCGGCACTATCCGAGCGCTGGCCCTGCAGTAATCCACGGGGGGCTGGTGGGGAGATCAAAGATCTCCCTCACCGGCCCACAAGCAATATATTCCGGCTGCCGGGGGAGAGAGTGAGGGAGCCAGCCTGCCAGCAGAGGAACCCGGAGGAGCTCTAACTTACAGCTCCGCCAGGTTCCTCTCGCGAGATTCGGAGCGTTGCCATGGCAACGCTCCGGGTCTCGCGAGAGTGAACTCTAGCCCCACAGGCTAGAGCTCACTCACCACGAGGACCACCAGGGATGGATGGCAGCCCCAGCAGCAGGATCCCCCCTCCCAGGCATAAGGTAAGCAATGAGGGAGGATATAATCACTCAGGGCACACACTCACAGCACCCTCACACACACTGCACCCCTAACACTCACAGCACCCTCACTGCACCCCTGACACTCACAACACACACACACACACACTGCACCCCTGACACTCACAATACACACACACACACTGCACCCCTAACACTCACAGCACCCTCACACACACTGCACCCCTAACACTCACAGCACCCTCACTGACACAAACACTGCACCCCTGAAGAAGTCAGGGGTGGTCTACCTCCATCTCCAGGAAAGGCGGGAACCAAGGTTGTGACAGCCACAGGGGGGTCACTATCACTATGAAGCCCGATTGACGCCGAAGATGGAGGAGGCAGCGAGGGATGAGGGCAAATGGAGGGAATGTATAATTCCTGGTGCTGGACCAGTTCTGGGAAAATGCATTCGTAGCCAAAGCCGCAAGATCCGGCCTCCAAATGAAAAAGTTTGGGTATTCAAGCGAGACGCAAACAAGTCTATTTCCAAAAAGATCGCAAAGATCCATAATGTACTGAAAGATTTGGGGATCGAGGTGCCAGTCATTGGAATCTCGAAGATGGTGGGAGTACCAATCCGCCATAATGTTGAGTCTCACAGCTGAGATTTTGTCCATCTTCAATAGGATAGAACACTGGGATAGAGTCGGAGACAGGCTGCGGATCGCAAAGGATCCTGCTAGGAGTTCGAGGCAATTTATATGTAACATTGATTCCAGTTCCGACTATCTCCGCAGCGCGATACTTGTAGTCATTGTAGGGCTCTGTAGTGAAGAGGCCCTGGGAATATGGCTTGTCGTCTAGATAAATGACGAGACTGATCCTATGACTGCGGAGGAGAACGATAACCGGCTTCATGAGCTTGGTGAAGCACCAAGGAGCGGACGATAGGCCGAAGGTAAGGCAGCGAAACCGCCATTTCCTTCCCTACCACATGAATTGCAGGAAATCTTGATGAACGTCTACGATGGGTACCATGAGATATGCATCTCGTAGGTTTAGCTTGACCATCCAATCTGTAAATCTCTTGAATGATGGTACGTCACATAAGCATTTAGCTGTTTCAAATTGATCATGGGTCGGACCCCACCCCCTTTCTTGGGGACTAGAAACAAATTGCTCACGAAACCCGGGGTCTACATTGGGACTTCGTGGATGGCACCTTTGTGTGCCAATTCTTTTATTTCTTTGAAAACGAGGGTCATTTTTGAGTGGGGAAAAAAACAACCTCCCTGGGAGGACAACGTTGAGTAGGAAGGGACACAAAATCTATCAGATAATCATTGACAGCCCTGAGTACCCAAGCATCTAAAGTAATAAATGGGTAAGTCTGTCCCCCACTACCAATAGGGAAGAAATGTGATTGTAGTAGCTTACAATAAGAACGTCGTCCCGAAGGAGCGCATCACATACCTCTTGACATCCAGGGTCTGCCTCATTGAGGGAAAAAAGTTGGTGTTGACCTCTGTTCTCAGTTCAGAGTTTGTGAACCTCTACTAACTCTGCCGAACAGACAGCCCCTTTTTCTGCCGGCCCCAGCAAAAACCTTAGGGTGGAACACCGTCCTCATATTTGTCTGTGCCTTGTCTAAGGCAGTGAATGTTTAGACATAGGATTCCAGGTCTTTCACAAAAGACTCACCGAACAGGAAGCCAATCTTGGGGTCGACCTGGGGCGTCCTGCATACATCGTCCGATACAGTAGGACATTGGCATTCCGCCCGCAATTTTTTTTTGTAAATTCTTTATTTTTCAGGATTATCAACATTTGTTATGGGATACAAAATGAAGAATAGGAAGCGGTTGCATTTCACAATAAATTCAATGAAGAAATTGACATTGAGTGCTTTATATCTGTTGTTTCTCTGTCATTGTTTGTGTTATATTACTCTTTTTTTTTTTTAATATATAGTTATTGGTTTAGTGTAAAAGCAAACATTGTAGAAAAAGGTTGAGACTTGTAGGTCTCGTAAGAGTCCCATGCCATAAATTACTTAACTCAACATGGTAATGATGTAGACATGCAGGTCTGGCAACAAATCAGAAAAGAAGAGACACGCAGGTCCCAAATCGTACAACTTATAACCATATTAACAGATATTATCAAGTGACCTTGAGGTTTGTTTGTTTTCTCTATGCGTGTAGGTTTATGAATTTGTTGTCTTGTGTGTTTTTGTTTGCATAAGTCAATATTGTGAAGTTGGTAGTCTGTCTTTTGTTGTTTGTTGTATATTGTATTTATATTATCGTTTTCCAATAAGGAGTAGGACTCGCAGGTCCATTGCATATAAATGATTCATCCACAGTACCAGCCGCGCAGGGCATCAATGTGTAAAGCAAACGGTTACAGGAAACCAACAACTCCATATATCATACATTTCCTATAGTACTTCCCTCCCGTTTGGGTCCCGCGTGTGTTTTCTTCCCTATCTCTTTCTCCCTTCCGGGCATAAGCCTTGTGCCGGGGTTAAGGAGTGTCATTCCCTAGCTTGTGTGCACCAGCGACCCAAGGTTCCTGTCTACGTCTCAGTGTGAGTCAGAGCCGGGGTGTCACCCTCTCCATTCCTGGCTACTTGCCTCTGTCGGTTATATGTCAATATGTTTTGAAAATATGTACGGTAGACTTCTACTAGCCAGTGTGTCCAGATGTCCAAGTACGTTTGTGGGCGACCCTGTGCTGTGAATGTCAAGTCTTCGAGTCCCCTCAGCTCGTCCATTCTCTCAAACCAGGTCGTTAATGGGGGTGTGTCTGACTTCCAGTATAGGAGTAATATATGTTTCGCTGTGTTCAGTATTCATATGGTCAGGGATTTCTTATATTTGGCTGTCGGGGTCGTGGTGTGATGTAAGAGGTATGCGGTAGGTTTAAGAGGTATGGGGTGGGTTGTCGGAGAACTTGTGTAGTACCCTGCTGATTGTTCTCCAGTATGGGACTACTTTCAGGCACTCCCACCATATGTGTAAAAACGTGCCAACTCCGGTGTGGCATCGTCAAGACCTGTCGCTCACTTCTGGAAAAATTTTATGTAATATCTGTGGTGTTTTATACCATAAGTTTAGGACCTTATATGCCATCTCCTGGGTTTTACTTGCCAGTGCGCAGTGGTGTGTGAGGTCGCAGATTTGTACCCATTGTTGTTCCATGAAGGTGTCCCCCGTCATTGTTTCCCATTTTCCCATGTAAGGGGGTGAGGGAATATTCCTGTTGTGGAGGAGCAGAGTGTATATGTGGGAGCTGGAGTGTGTAAGTGGGTCTGTTCCCAGGCTTCTGAACACGGTCAATGTCCTGTAGAGGTCAGGGTGCTGTGGTATATTTTTCAGGAAATGTCGGATCTGTTCGTGTCTCAGTCTGTGTAGGAAGGTAGCATGTGTGTCGTCCAGGAAGTCACTAAGGGGTTAGATCGTGTTGTTCTTACTCACATGTCTCACTTGAATGTGTGTTTGTGGTGTCAGGCAGGCGAATGCCCGTGGGTCCATGCCTGGGGTGAAGTCTGGGTTGTTTGTGAGCGGGTAGAGAGGGGATGGGAAGGAGGAGAGTCCAATCTGTGTGGCCACCATGTGCCATACGTCCAACGTTGCCTTCATCAGAGGTTGATGTTGCGACATACGTCTCCCCGTTGTTGATGACATCCATGTTAACGCTTTCAGTGAACCGCCTGTTTGGACTCTCTCTATCTCCTTCCAATGTTTGATCACTCCATGCTTGACCCATTCCAGCACGTGTTGCAGGTGGGAAGCCTGATAGTAAAGTCGGAAGTCAGGGACTGCTAGGCCGCCCTCGAGTTTCGGGCGCATGAGCGTTAGATATTTCAGCCTCGGTGTACCCCGGCCCCAAATGTACTTAATCATCAGAGACCTCAAAGACGTGAAGTATGCTGTCAGGATCTGTATGGGGAGAGTCTGGAACAGGTACAATATGCGAGGGAGGAGATTCATTTTTAGCACCGCAATGCGGCAGAGTCAGGACAAGTGAGGCAGCTTCCATTCTTCAAGGTTTTTCTTGAAATTATTAAGCATCGAAGTGACATTAAGGCTGTATAGTTGGGTGATGTCTCGGGGTATCCACTTCCCCAGGTATTTAATCACCCTCTCAAACCAGTGGAAGTGGAAGCTTTTGCATAGTGCGTCGGCCCTTGTTGCAATCAAGTTAATGTTGAGTAGATTCGATTTTGTGGGTTAGAGAGCTGTCCATAGATTTTGAATTCTCGTATTATATTGGGAAGGGTTGTCTCGGGCAGGAAGACGAAGAAGATCAGGTCATCTGCGTACACAGCCACCTTGTGTGTTGAGTCTCCTATCACAAGTCCTCTGAGATCTGGGTTTCTCCAGATGGCCTGCAAGAACGGTTCCAGGGCCAACACGAGCAGCAAATGTGAAAGTGGGCAGCCTTGTCTGGGCCCATTACGGATGTGGAATGAATCTGTGTAAGTTCCATTAATGCAGACCTTCAACGATGGATCAGTATATAGTGATATAATCCAGTTATACATATTCGGCCCCATTCCTAGGGCTGAGAGCGTGCTGACTAGGAAATCCCAGGGGGCTTCCAGCACCTTGGATGCTGTCTCCGGGAGTTTTGTATGCAGGTTATTGGCCAGATAGGTTTGTATGGAGTTGGTGGTCTGGTGTGAGCCTGCGGATAAGTTCTTTGAGTACAGGGTTTTGAAGTAGTTTCTTGCTACTTCGGTGATGCAAGTTGGCATCTTCTGTGGTTAGCCCTGAGTGTCGCGTAGGCTTCTTATTTATAAGTGCGGTGAGGAGTTTGCCGCATTTGTCACTGTTGATGTAAAAGAAAGCTTTAGTGTGCTGAAGAGAACATTGGTGACGTTGTCGGAGGAGAGAGGATAGTTGTCCTCTCACTTCTGCTAGCTCTTGATATGTGTCCAGGTCGTGGTCGGGTTTGTGTCGAGTTTCCAGGTCCTGGATTCTATCTGTGAGATCTCGGATCGTAGCCTCCCGATGTTTCTTCAGCATGGCGCCCCTTGCCAAGAAGAATCCCTGTATCGTGTACTTGTAGGCCTCCCAGATGACAGGTGCGGTTGTGTCAGGCATTGTGTTTTCCGTAAAGTATTGCGTCAGTGTCGTGTGTGCATCTTTTACCAGGGCTGCGTCTGAGAAGAGAGTTTCGTTAAGGTGCCAATGTGTGGTGCGAGGTTGAAAGAGGGGGGAGGTCACAGTCATGGTAATTAGGGCGTGGTCTGACCATGTCATGGGGCCTACGCTTGCCTGGCTGTCTCGGGAGAGGTAGTAGTATGGTATGAAGAAGTAGTCCAGTCTGGAGTATCTAGCGTGGGGTATGGAGTAGTGTGTGTAGTCCCTATCAGTCAGGTGCATGGCCCTCCAGCAATCTATAAGACGGTGCGTGCTGTGCCTGATTGTCAGAAGGACCAGTTCCGGCATCGCTGACGTACCTGTCGAGCTGGCGTAGATATTGGCTAGTTTGATGTTCTGTGCCAGTAGTGAGCCTTTAACAAATATGTAGCGGCCTTTACCGTCCGTCTTGGTCTCGGTCTGTATAAAGGGTATCGATTTATGTATAAGTATCGCGGTCCCCCTTGATTTGCCTTCAGGGTTGTTCCCATAGAAGCCTTGTGTGTAAATATGATTGGTCAATTTTGGTGCGTTGCCTTCCCGGAAGTGAGTTTCCTGTATGTAAACTATATGGGCTTTTTGAGCTTTGAAATCTTTCAGGGCAAGCAATCATTTCTCAGGGGTGTTAAGCCCTCTGGCGTTGATCGAAAGGAATTTGAGGTTCACTGGGGAGAAGGGACTAGGTCCCAGGTGTCCGCCTGTACTCTGGGGGGGAGGGGGTGTCCGAGGTGGTCTTGGGTCGCTGGTCGTGCCAGGTCACTGGGCTGCATTTCTGGCTAGGGGTTGGGCGCAGTGTGGTAGCTAGGTTAGTGTGGTTGCCAATAGGCGGTTACAGACGGCGGCAGGAGGGGGGAGGGAGAAGGGGGATGGGAGGGGGGTAGAGAGGGAAGGGGAAAAGAGGGAAAAGAGGAGAAGGGGGAAAGAGGGGAGAGAGGGGAAGAGGGGGAGAAGGAGGGAGGGGAGGGAAAGAAGGGGAGAAGGAGGAATGGGAGGGAGTAAGAGGAGGGAGAGGGAGGGGGAGAAGTGGGAGGGAAGGGGGAGAAAGATGAACCAGAGGACGGGGGAGAGAGGGAGAGAGGAGGGGGGGGAGAAGGAGGAGGGGGGAAGAGGAGAGGAGGAGGAGAGAGGGGGAGAAGGAGGAGTGGGGGAAGAGGGGAGGGGGGAGAAGGATGAGCAAGAGGGAAGGGGACGGGGGAAGGGGAGACAGAGGGAGGGAGGAAGGGGAGAGAGGGGGAGAGGGAGGGGGGAGAAGGAGTCTTCCCCAGTCCCTGTCTTCAGGTGCCGGTGTCGTTTCAGTGGGGGAAAAGGCAGGTGAGTGTTCCCCAGTGCTGTCGGAGGCCTAATCTGATGGGAGCTGGAAGGCCAGGTCCGATGGCGTGGTGAGGTACTGGCGCAGGGAGGGGGTGAGAGACCCCTTCTTCGTATCTGCGGCTCTGTGGGAGCTTGTCGCGCGGTGATTCTTACCCATTTTTAAGCGGTTGAGGGGGATCCACCGTAGTGTAACACAAGGAGATGCAGGAGAGAAATTTTAAGCGGCCATCTCCGTTCGCGGTCAGGCCCCGCCCCCTTCAGCCCGCAATTTATTATGGATCACCTTATAAAGAGGCTTGCGGACCTGGGCAGGAATGTAGCGTGCCATATGTTCGGCAAGTGACCATTCGGCCGAGCGGGGGTGACGTAAATCATCAGGGTCATACAAAGGTTCGCCCTGCGAGTCGAGTATTTTACCCTCCTTGGATATTGCTGGATGAGATAACTCCGTGCCAGAGGTATCAGTGGCATTTATGCCATGAGGGGTGGTTTGAGTGTCCTCAAATTAATAATCTGAATCAAGCTCGCATAAGTCATCAGAATGGTCCAAATCAGAGTCTAGAGCACTCTCCTCATCTTCACTGAGATGCGACTCAGAGGAATCAATCTGGTTTTTAGCCCATTTCCAATGTCTAGCCTCTTTGCCTGGCTAATGGCTCTCTTGCGCGGTGGTTCCGTATTTGCGCCAACTATGACAGGTTTTAAACTGTCCATCATCATAGTTTTGGAGGAGTGCTTGGTTTTAGCCAAAGCCTTGCGGCCAGGGGGTGGGGGTTGAGAGGTAGGAGGTATCAAGGCCGGCAAAATGGCCGGAGGGACAAACAGTTGGGCCTGTAACAAGGCCTGCTTAACCCCTTAAGGACACATGACATGTGTGACATGTCATGTCATGATTCCCTTTTATTCCAGAAGTTTGGTCCTGGGGTTAAAGGACTTTGAAATAGATGATGACATAATGTCCATGGCAGATGCCAGGGCCTTGGGCATGTACTTAGACACAGTAGCATCCATGATCGCCTGAATTTCCTCAGAAGCAGGGAATTCACATTCATCCCCAGAAATTAGAGTGGGGAGTCCCAAGGGAACTTGGAGTTCAGTTTATGACCCAGAGGGTGTAGGCACATCTCTAGAAGATTACATAGTGATATAGGTTAGGATACAATATAAGAATTGAAAATAACAAATTAATAATAATAATAATTTATAATATTAATTACTGAAATTCTGCCTGTGTATTACACTCAGAATGACAGGCAGATGCGTATTACGGACTTTAGCTTGTGGCTTAGTGAATGGTGTCGGGAGCAAGGATTTAGCTTCATTTCTCATGGTAGCTCTGTTTGGAATGGAAATAACCTGTACAAAAAAGATGGTTTGCATCTTTCTCAAAAGGGAACAAATGTTCTCAGCGAGCAGTTCAGAGGTTTTTCTAGGATGTATTTAAATTAGGAGGGGGTGGGCAAAAGGGTGATTAAACATCAATCCAATTGCCCCCCAAAACAAGGACAGAAGGTGCCTTTAGCAAGTGTGTTAAAAAATGATAAGCTTAGAGTCATGTCTACAAATGCTCGCAGTTTAGGGAAAAAGATCCATGAACTTGTGGCAATAATGGAAACTGATAGTGTAGATTTAGTCGCTGTTACTGAGACATGGTATAATGAGAAAAATGCCTGGGACATAGCAATACCAGGGTACTCTTTATATAGAAAAGACAGGGAAGGCAAGAAAGGGGGAGGGGTGGCCCTGTATGTGAAGGATAGCATAAAATCTAGCCTAATAAAAGTTAGTGAGGCGAACATAGAGTCCGTTTGGGTTACGTTAGAATTTGGTAATCACACGGTAACTCGTGTAGGTGGGATTTATCGGCCCCCAGGACAAATTGAAGAGTTAGATAATCTACTAGTTGAGGAAACAGCTAAAATGACAATGAAGGAGGAAGTTATCATCATGGGTGACTTTAATCTTCCTTATGTAAATTGGAAAACAAAAATAGCTGCTTATGCCAGGAGCACACTATAAGATTACTTTAGGGAGATCATGCCAAACTAATCTCATTGATTTTTTTGTTTGGGTAACTAAAATAATAGATCAGGCTGGTGCAGTAGACATTGCTTACCTAGATTTCAGTAAGGTTTTTGACACTGTTGCACATAGAAGGCTTATCAAAAAACTGCACTCTTTAAGTTTGGAATCCAATATTGTTGAATGGGTAAGGCAGTGGCTGAGTATCAGGCAACAGAGGGTAAATTCGAAGTATGGGCTTGTCACCAGTGGGGTACCTCAGGGATCTGTACTTGGACCCATGCTCTTTAATATTTTTATTAGTGATATTGCAGAAGGTCTTGATGGTAAGGTATGTCTTTTTGCTGATGATACTAAGATATGTAACAGGGTTGATGTTCCAGGAAGGATAAGCCAAATGGCAAATGATTTAGGTAATCTAGAAAAATGGCCAGAGTTGTGGCAGCTGACATTTAATGTGGGTAAGAGCAAGATAATGAATCTTGGAGGTAAAAACCCAAGGGCAGAGTACAGAATATTTGATAGAGTCCTAACCACAACATCTGAAGAAAGAAATATAGGGGTAATTATTTCTGATGACTTAAAGGTAGCCAGACAATGTAATAGAGCAACAGGAAATGCTAGCAGAATGCTTGGTTGTATAGGGAGAGGTTTTAGCAGTAGAAAGAGGGAAGTACTCATGCCATTGTACAGAACACTGGTGAGACCTCACTTGGAGTATTGTACGCAGTACTGGAGACCGTATCTGCAGAAGGATATTGATACTTTAGAGAGAGTTCAGAGAAGGGCTACTAAACTGGTTCACTGATTGCAGGATAAAACTTACCAAGAAAGGGGGCGGAGCCTGAATGTTGGAGAGAATGGTCGCAAGACCTGATAGCTCAGAGCATCACAAAGAGAAAAAACAATTGGAATACCACCCTCACCCCCCCCAACCCCAAACGGCCAAAGTGTACTCCGACACTACATGGGGCGAAAGGGGAAAAAAGTGATACCAAACAAGCCTACCTCACAATCGGGGAGATGTGGAGTCAAGCACTAGGCGCCAGTGGAACCAGCATGGCGGCACTGCATGGCGGCTGCTCGGACTTCTCTGAAAAACTGTCTGAAGACATGGACGAGGAGTACCAGCCGACTCCCACCCCACCACGGAAGACGAAACAAAGTGGCACACGCGCGGGTTCTGAGCCGGTAACCACGGCGGTCCTAAAGGCACTGTTGGTAGACCTGCAAAAACACATCCACGATGATGTAACAGCGCTACGCGTGGACCTACGAGGCCTGGCAGGCCGCATCGATAAACTGGAGGGATCCTCACAGTCACACACCCAGAATATAGCTACGCTACAACAGACCGTGCAGAACCTACAAATGCAGACTCTGCAATATGAACGCGGCCTCGTGGCTCAAGAGGACTGCAGGCGAAGGCATAACATAAAGATTCGAGGAGTCTCTGAAGAGGTACCAGAAACTGAGCTGCCGAGGGTCATGGGGTGCATATTATCAGCATTACTACCGCACAGACAAGGCAAAACAATTACCCCAGAGGAGGTCTTCGGGGTCCCCAAGCCAATGAGGGCCCCAGCCACTGCTACAAGAGATGTTATAGCCACCTTCCGCAACGGCAG